TACGTAGTGATGCCGCTCAAATTTGTTTCAGTAGTTTAGACTTCTCCGAACTTGCACGTCTATCTGGCTACTTGGCATCTATACTCAGATGTCAGTGGCCAGAAGGGGACCTTTTCTTTCTCACTCGCCCCTCCCCACTGAGCCATATCCTCAGGAAACATCACCCCCATCCACTGTGTGTGTCAGTTATAGAAACTGAATCCAGTGCACCCACCATCTCCATTTTCATGTCCAGGTCATGGGAAAACTACAACCAATTACATGCATAGAGCTTCTTAACTTGTATCTTTCCTTCTACGCTTGCCTCTCTCTCTCTCCTCTCTAGTTTCCCCAGAACAGTACAGATGAACCCTTGAAGCTATAAATCAGATCATGTCACTCTTCCGACTAATTTCCTTCATTGGGTTCCCACTGCACTTAGAATGAAATCCAGTCTCAATACCATGTCCTACAAGAGCTTGCACCACTGGGGCTAGTTTGTCTCTTCAAACTCAGTCCTTCATTCTGCCTCTTGATCGTTTTATTTTAAACACACTGGTGTTCCTTTATTTCTTTAAGCATGCTAAGTGTTTATAAAGTCAAGTCTTTTACCTGTGCTATTTCCTGTGCCTAGAATGTTCTTCCCCTGGTGGTGGACATGACTGGCTTTTCTCCTAATCCAGGTCTGGCATTACGTTGTGCTTCTCCAGGGGTCTTCACCAATGACTGCATCTGCTGCTGTCTCTGATGTGTTATCTCTTTTATCTCTTTATTGTTCCCTTCACAGGAATGTCCAGAAAATAACTGCTTTATTAAATTGTTTGAAGTTGCTTTCTTGACTTTGTCTTTCTGTCCTAGTGAAAGTTTGTTGCAATACACAAACTGTCTGTTGAAAATGCTGGTATATGCCATCAAGATTCTCTTAGACCCCAGCCTGGGACAGTGGTCAACAAGGGGATGGTGCTGGAAAAAACACAAGACTCACAAATTTGATGTATAGAAGCCTGAGAGCCTGGGAAGGCATAAACAGTCCTTTGTGCCTGCTGGCAGCTCAAGACAGTGCAGCCCTGGTCTTGCTTCTCTGGGGTCCTTTTTTGTGTATAGTAATAGAGTAAATGTGCAAGAATGCACAGCAGTTAAAGACTAAAGAAAGGGGAGCTCAAGGCCCCCAGGAAGGTTGGGCGAAGGGCAGCAGTTGGGTAAATAGGGACATAGAGTAATGGAACATCTGAAGTGGCCAGATAACATACACAGGGAGCAGAGAAGGGGAAAACAAGTTTTGTCCCTTTCAGCTATCTTAACATCCCTAATTTAAACTACTGATCAAGAATCTGAAGGACTTAACCACGGTGGAATCCCATGCAGGAATAGTCATGTAGATATTCTCCTGACTGGCCACTTTATCCAGAGTTGGAAGGCCCAGGAGGAATTCAACCTGCCCGCCTCCCACAGTATGGCTTTTATGTAGCACAATGTCAATGTAGCACATTGTAGCACATAGCACATTCAGTGCACTGGATATTTATAACATAAATGAATAAACAAGCAACATTGTAGGTGGGAGTTACATAGAGAGGAGGGGAAAATATTTCCACCTCAACTTTAGCATTGAACTATGTGGTATAATAAAAGTATGACGACCCCTTCACAGTAATCAGCCACTATGCAACAGAAGATTTTTCTGAGGAAGATAACAAAGAAGAAAGTAATCTGATCAACATATCATTCACCTCACTTATTCAATTGTTGTATTTGTTGACCTATTTGATGTGAACATTCTAGGTTGTATATGAGTCAGCATATTGTACCCCATAAATGCAGTAATGTACATAGTTATGATCCAATAAAAAAAAGAAAGTAATCTGGATTTCCTATGAAAGTGCAAAATTATGCTGCTGCAGTGACCTATTATTTAGTAGGATGTGTTTTCTATAAATTTGAAAAATGTCAGAGATTTCACTTATATTTAGCTTTCGTATTATCTTCCATGAGCACATTTAATTGACATTAGGGCCTATCCAGGAATTAGGATAGTCTTTATTAAATGAGAAATAACAAGGCAGTTCATTTATCAAGATGTATTATCCTCTGCTGGGTAGACATGGCTCCTATCCTCAAGGAGCCTCACAAGCAAGTAGGGGTGACAGTCTAAGGAAGAAATCCTTCCATGTCCTCTGTGGCCAGATCAATTAGAGACACACACCAGAATCTTGGTGGAATAAAGGAGAGAGTTTTCAGGTTTGGGTGGGGCATGGACCATATCCTAAGGGAGGTGATGTGGAATTTGGTGTTGAAGCAATACGAATTTTCTAGATGAAGATTTTCCAGGCCATGGGACAGAATATATACAAAGACTCAGAAGCATGATTAGGGTAGTGTGGTATGGAATTTGCAACCATAGAGAAACGTAAGGAGAATAATCAGGCCTTGAGGTTGGAGAGATAGGCAAAATCAGACTGTAGAATGCCTTGTAAGCTATGGATGTAGATTAGATTTTGCCCATCAGGCCTTTGAGGGTCCTTGGAAAGAGTTTAATCTTGACAGAATGGATTATATAATTTACATTTTAAAGAGCTCATTAGAGAATGGAGTAGGAAGAATGTGGTAATGCAGAGTGAAGGATGAGATCACCCAGGAAGGTACAGAGTGAGGGGAAAAAAGACGGGCACTGGTGGAGTAGGGACACTTCAAATGGAGAGAAAAAGATGGAGACTTCAGAGTGGCAACAGATGCACAAAGCAACATAACAGACACCAAGGAAAAAGAGCTTACTTAAGAAGGAAGGAATGACAGGTCTGGTAGGATAAAAATTAAGATGGGAGGATTGGATTTCACAAGTAAAGTATCATCAGTCATCTTCACAAAAGTAGTGTTGGTTGGTTGATGGGGACGAGATCCACCTGGGGGAATGTTTGGGGCTCAAGGAGAAGAGGGAAAACAGACACAGCCGAGGGCAGACGTAGAGCTGGCCTTGGTTCTCTTTGGTTTTAAAGTTTTGCTTTTAGTCAGTGGTAGAGACTTAACTTTGTATACTCTGCTGAGAGGGAAGAGGTATAGGAACTAGGCTGTTAATGCAAGAGAACTGGATTTTGGTGTAACATTGCTTTAGACCAGTGGTTCTCAACCTGTGGGTCGCAAGCCCTTTGTAACAATGAAAATACATCACAGCATTAGGGAGGTTGAGAACCACTGCTTTAGACTCACGAAGCACAAAATAAAGGAAATAGGAGGAAAGCGTGTGGATGTAGGTGAGGTTATTTAAAATAGAGGGTTATTTCCTCTGCATTGGGGGTAGGGGGAAGCATGTGCTAAGAGGGAGGGCAACAGAGTTGACCCCTGAGGAGATAGAAAGATGTTATGGGGGCTGAGGGAACAGTCACAGGATGATAGTGAGGGCCCAGCTAAGCTGGAAGGTGTGGGGGTGGGGGTGACCCAGTCCACCTGCAGCAACTTGGACACCAGGTTCCAGATTGGGAGTCACCTGGGAAGTTCAAGGGTGAGTCTACTGAGAATGGCAATGGAATTAAGATTCCAATAGGGACCAGCTTAGTTAGGGAAGTGGGCACTGACAGGGGGCCTTGGCAGAGACAGGAGGTAAGGTTAGAGAGGAGCAAACACATCAGGAGGGACAGAGCAGGGGCCGGTCTTGGAGGCAGGAGGCTACCATAGCAGTGTGTCGGGATGATAGACCCAGACTGACATTTCCTTACTGCACCCTGGGAAGGTTCTGATCCTGCATTTTTACTGCTCTTGCCCAGATTGGTATGGGGAGTGCCTCTCTCAGAATTGAGCTTAGAATCTGCCACACAGCTTTTGACTATTCAGAGTCTTGGTGATTTCTTAGTCCTTTTGGAGGTGGATTTGATTTTTGAAAACTGCTAAGTCATTCAGAGCCAAGTTTGGTGAAGAAAATAGACAACCAAGCTGGGTAATACCATTTTTGGTAGGAAGGCGAATGTGGATTTAAAGAACAGTACTTTTTTTTTTTTTTTTTTTCTCAATGTTCCTTGTAAAAGGACCCGATAGTAATTTCCAAAGACAGTGATGACAGCATCTTTGGAACTTACCTGCCTTCTCAAAACAGAGGTCTTTCTGGGGCATGGGCCTGTCAGCACGGCAGCATGGTTTGCTTCCTGGCCCTAAGTCCCAGGAGCCCCACAGATCCTGTGTCAGACAGAAAAGCCACCACACTTTCCAGATGTCCCTGGTTGTCTTTGGACTGCCAGAAGCTGGTGGGCCTGTTTATGAAAAGCCAGGGAAGAGAGAGAAGCCTTCTCCCCTATCCCTTTTACTCTTTATTTATTTGTTTATGTTTTGGCTTTCCCTTTTTTTAAAAGTTTGTTTTCTCTGATTGCGGTGTAAGGAGTGACATACATAGGAAAAAGGGATCTTTGCAAAAGAAAGATTGTAAAGAAATTAATAAACCAAGGGTAGGCTATGGGAGAATAGAGAAAAAGAGACAGAAAATAGCGTAGTCGTGGGGAAGCTGGAAGAAATATTTCTGCCACATTTGTCCGTGGTTTCTTGTGATTTTCTTTGAAGCCAAGAATAAGATTTCCTGTAAGAACGCTCATGTGTGGTTGCATTATAGGGTATAACTGATTGCAGAGGCACCCTAAATAGATTTCACCGAGAATATAGTTAGAATTGTGTAGGGATTTAAATCTAGACTCAAAGAGAAGAACAACCTGTTATCAGGCAAGTCCATTTGACTTCACCGATAGTGAAGGGGGGGGTTCATGATTCACAGGTCCCAGCCCCTGTTCCCAAATGATGTTACTTATATGACTGTCCAGGAACGTGGACTCCAAAGTCATTTTAGCTCCAGAGTAGCAAGTTTTTAATTTTAATTTTTACCAAGTGAAGTTCTCATTTTGTATTAATACCCTTTTCTAATAATAGTGTACCTGGCTAGCATTTAAAAGTCTAAAAGTCATCTGTTATGTATTTTTAAAATCTGCACTAACACTTGTGGACCGTTCATGCCATACTGAAGCTGATTTTCTACTTTATTTTTTCAGTTGTTCATGGTGGACAATGGAGCAGATGACTGGAGAATAGCCATGACTTATGAGCGTATTTTCTTCATCTGCTTGGAAATACTGGTGTGTGCTATTCATCCCATACCCGGGAATTATACGTTCACGTGGACAGCCCGGCTTGCCTTCTCCTATGCCCCGTCCACAACCACCGCTGATGTGGATATTATTTTATCTATACCAATGTTCTTAAGACTCTATCTGATTGCCAGAGTCATGCTTTTACATAGCAAACTGTTCACTGATGCCTCTTCTAGAAGCATTGGAGCGCTTAATAAGATAAACTTCAATACACGTTTTGTTATGAAGACTTTAATGACTATATGCCCAGGAACTGTACTCTTGGTTTTTAGTATCTCGTTATGGATAATTGCCGCATGGACTGTCCGAGCTTGTGAAAGGTAAGTTTGTTTCTTTTCCTGAGAACGTAATTTGCCATCTGGTGTCTTCAAAAGTGAGAGAAAGAAAACGTTATGGGGACACGTAGCGTCTCACTCTTGAAAGTTTGGGTTTCTCTGACAGGCTTCTAAATGACTGTGACCAAGTTTTTCTGAAGATTTTTGTGTGTGTGTAGAGTGCAGGAGAATGTCTTGTTCTCAGTAATTCCTCAGATGAGTTACGATATTGGGGACTGGTGCAGTAAGTATGATGTTTAATCCTCTATAGTAGAGCTTTCGTGATTGTGTACATTTTCTTTTCGAATTGGATTGGGTTTCAATAGAGGACTGCCTTTATGGTGTGTGTCGAAATCGGAGACCTAGCAATTGTGCAGGAGCCTTCTATTGGGAATGTTGGTTTAATGGCAATACCGACTCATTTCTGTGCCGGATCGCTTACAAGCATTATTTATTGTTGGGACAGAAATGCAGTGAAAAGCTGTTGGTGCGAGATGCTGAACGTTAGTGACTATCTTAAAGTGGTTTGTGCATTCTTGTGCCTATTTATAAGTGTTCATGTGATTACCTGGTAAGGAGCTGTGGGTATACATATGTGTATATATTAGATTTTATCGAACTTTCAGCAATTAATAAAAGAGGCAATCTATTTGTTTTCCTGTCTGAAGAGCTCTGGTGGTCTAGAGTGAGCCACATATTCTCAGGTTACAAAAGCTCTTAATCGGATATAGCATTAATAATGTTAACTTTGCCATTGAACAAACAGAACTAGATTTATGGCATAAACAGGAAGGGTTGGGTCATAATGGGGTGGTGACTGCCCTTACATATGACCTTGGTTAAGAAAATGCCAGTTAAAATTAGCAGTAGAAAGAGGGGAATGATTTAGAAGTTTTTAGGACTGTTGAAAGTTCAGATTTTTGTCTTTATAGTAATCCGATTTCTTAAAAACTAGTTTTCTAAAGTCAAAGTTATACACTCAAATAGTTGAAAGAAGAAAAAATCTGAGAATTGCTGTGAAAAGAAAACTAGTGAACCCACGGCATCCCCCATCCTAGTCATGCTCTCCAAAATAAGTCACTTTAAATTCTTTAAGCCATATCTTCACTAATTGCTTTTTATATTTCTAAATAAAATTGCTTATATTGCTACTGTAGATTTTGAGTTTTAGAGCTTTCTATTGACTTTAGAATTTTTGCTGTCCCTCTTTTACATAAACACACCCCTTTCACAATTGCTCCCCACCCGCCCAGGTTATATAACCCCCAGGAGTCTATAGTGCATATTTACATTGTTATGACTATGTCAGCTGCGTTTACAGCTGAACAACATAGTATGTTACAATTGCTTTCCTTTCCTGGGCCTCTTTTTATTTCTTCTGTGAGTAATAATAGCCTTATTTTTTATTTGCTTAGATTTCTATATACTCACCACTAAATCATCTCTAAATTCTCCCCCATTATATAAATGTCCTTCTCCTCTACTCAGATGTATTAAGCAGTCTGTCAGTTTCACCCTGAAGAAATGACCTTTGGAAACTTCTCACCTGCTTCTCCTTCCCACTGGGGACTTTCTTTGCCTTTTTTGTGCATTGAATTGCCTCTTTCTTGAACTCTGCTTCTTTTCTTTCTCCGTTTACTCCTTTATTTTCGTGGAATCTGTCTTGCAGCAGTTTTAAAGAAAAGGCAGTCCTTGAGAGGGATTTTTTGAGACCTTGTGACTGGGGGATCTCTAGTTTCCTCTCATGCTTACTGGTAATCTGGCTGGATATAAAATTCTAGATTGGAAATCGCCTTTCTTCAGCATGTTAAAAGCTTTGTTTTCCTCTGTCGTCCAGGGTGCAGCAGCTGATGCCATGCTCTCTTTTTATCCTTTTCCTGGAAATTTTTAGAATTGATATTCTAAAATTACACATGGACCTTTCTTGGTGTAACTCTGTTTTAGTCTACGATATTGGGGATTTCGTGGGCCTCTTCAGTCTTGAAATTCAAGTTCTTCAGTTTTTGAAAATTTTTGTGAGTTGCTTGATGATTTTTATTCCGGCATGGATCATGGCCCTCCTTTATTAGCTCACTGATTTTGTCATCCCGATGTCTCTGTTGTTTTCCACCTCTGTTTTTGCTCTGTATATGAAAAGTCTCAATTTTATCTCTCAAAATTTATGTTGAGACTTTATTTTACTATACTATATATTAATTTCCACCATCTAATTTTTGATCCACGAATGCTCATTTTTTAAAATAGCATGATGTTTTCCTTTCGTAAGTGTACTTTTATTTCACTGTATCCAGGGTGTCCAACCTTCCTCCCACGCCTCATGCAGATTATCTGGAGCCTGTTTTGCTTATCTCCAGGGTCAGATATTGCAGAAATTATGCACAAACCTTTTTTGGCTCATCACCTTTTGCTAGTGTTTGTGTATTTAACGTGTGGCCCAAGATAACTCTTCTTATTCCAGTGTGTGGCAGAAGACAAAAATAGTTGGACACCCTGCACTGATGTTAATGATACTTCTTGAAATTTTGTATTTCTGTATTTTTTGTTTGTTTCTTTCCCCAAAGTCATCTTTTTCTCTTTGTTTTTGCTTCTGTTTGGAAACTTTCCTTAAGTGTTCATTAGGTAGCCCTGGCGGCCTGCTCAGCCTTCAGAGTGAGGCCCTAGTGACCAGATGGGAATCTTCCGGACATGCCTGGAGCTCATCAGCTGCAGGCTTCACTGAAGGGTGATTTGGGCCAGGGGCAAAGAGCACCAATTTCAGTACCTTTAGTTGTTTTCAGTCTTCTCTGACAATCAGACCAGCCCCTGGGAAGTCATTTCTACTGCCCTTCCCTGAAGGCAGAAGCCTGGGTGACAGCATTCTGGAAATTAAAAGACAGGGAAAAGAAAAGTTCTCAACAGCTCCTGTGTGAGCCTTTGCCTATTTTCCTGGTTACGGCGCAGTCGACCAGTCTCTCTATCGTTGGCTGCCTGCAGTCCATCCCAGACTGTGTGCTTTACCCTCTCCAGATGATAAACTTCCAGACTTCTGCCAGGCTGCCAGGAACGGTTAGCATTCACACAGAGCAGAGGAGGGAGCCCAGGTGTCTAGCTGCTTCCATGCATCTTTGAACCTGTCCCCTCATTCAGAGCTCTATCATGATCCCCACTGCAGAGGTCCTGGTAGCAACAATGCCTGCGTCGTGGGCAGGGGTGGGCTCTCACCTGTGTTCGCCTCAAGTGTTCACCACTGCTGCTGTAGAATTCTGCTTTCTGGAGTCAGGTAAGTCAGTGATCCCTGTTGATGAGCTTTCTAGCTGCTTTTACTACTGGTTTTCACTCATTGTTATTGTCCTTGTGGCTATATGCTTTTTCTTTGTTGTTTTAAAATGATTTATAGTCATTTTAAAGGCATTCAGGGAAGGCGCTCAGACCAGCATGCTTGTTGAGTGTGCCTGCTTTTGCCAGAAACTGTATAGTGACTAGTTTTTAATATCATGTAGCATGTTTTTTAGACTTTCTCTACATAAATATAGCATTTGAGGGATTAACGCTTTCTTTTTAAAGAAAGGTAGACTCCTTATGGTAATGCTTTGTTTCCTAGCAATCGTGGTATTTAGAGGCTTATGATATTTTCTGGAGCAGATGTACCTATGAAGTTTGATGAATAAATATGGAAAGCCCTGCTTGACATGTCTATTTAGCTTATAAAGGCTAGCCTCAACTAAAATGATGCATAGAAATGTAACAACAGCGGTAACAAGCATGATTTCACCACGTATGCTTCTCCATGGATGGTCTCTGGTACACCTTCCCAAGGGCCAATGGAAACAGCCTCAAAATTGTGCGCCTGCTATACATTTCATTTTCAGAAATGGTTCAACTTTGCTGGTTTTTGTTGTTTGTTTTTGAGAAAGAGTTCCACTCTGTCACCCTTGGTAGAGCACTGTGGCATCATAGCTCACAGCAACCTCAAACTCTTGGGCTCACGCACTCCTCTTGCCTCAGCCTTCCAAGTAGCTGGGACTACAGGAACTTACCACAACACCCATCTAGTTTTTCTATTTTTAGTATTTTGGGTCTCTCTTTTGCTCAGGCTGGTCTCAAACTCTGGAGCTCAGGCAATCCACTCTCTTCGGCCTCCAGAGTGCTAGGATGACAGGTGTGAGACACCACGCCTGGCCCATCTTTGCTGTTTTAACCTGTTGGTAATAAATACAGAAAGCTAGAGGCAAACTGTGCCAAATTTTCTTAACAGCGCAAAGTCCGTGTTTTTTTAACATGTCTGAACTGTTAAATGATGGCCACTTCTGTTTTCATATAAAGAGGCGATGCAAAGTGAAAAATGTCCATTTCGTAGCAAGACCGAGAGTCTGTAGCAGCAGTTACACAGAGGGAGTAAATCCATGGCATGGTGGGGACAGAAGCCAAACCGTGAATCAGGATGCCAAGATTTAGTCCCAGTGTGTAATTTAGGGTCCTCGGGCCACCCATTTCACTTCTTTGTGAAAACAAATGCCTTGCTAAGCTCTCCTCTTTCAGAGGTAACTATTTATAATTATATAAATGTGTAAAAGAAAAAAATCATTAACCAGAATAATGATAACAGAAGATTTGCCACATTTTTTCATTAACCTTCTTTTTGCTGCACCACATCCCAGATTGTAAAATATAAACATGTAAAAAAAAATTGTTTTTCAGAGTTGCAATGTTGAACATGATGTCATGAGCATCTTACCCTTCCTTAGCTTTTTGTTTTATTCTGACTTTCAGAAAATGTTTTTCTTTTATGACATTTCCAGTACTTAATACTACATATAACTTTCATATACGTGGTTTAGGATTTGGATCTGAATGAAATGTATCAGTCCCATCTTTGGTTCCTCCAAGCATCGTCTCCACATTAAAGGGGGATTCTCATCTGATACAAAATTATCTCTTTAGTTAATTAGAAAATATCTAAGAAAATACTTAAGACTTTTTTTTTTTTTTAAGGAGACAACTTGAGACAGAGAGGTAGATGGCTTTTT